GACGCCCCCGAGCGTGGAAACACGCCTTCTGCGTCTTCTAGCGAAGCGCCACAGGTAGCGGCCCGCCGCGGCCGTCTACAAGGCGTACCACCACCTCCAGACGCAGTTAACACAGGGGACCAACTACGGAGAGCTACAAGGAACCCTCTTGCCTCCACCGGCTCTGGGGCTCCACGACTACCCGACTGGACGAGATTCGACATCCAACACAGTCTACAGAGTCTCCGTAGTCACGAACCCCATGTCGTGAAAAAGGAACTCCGAAAACTGCATCTGCGATGGTATCATGCGAAGGAGCCAAAGATGAGGCTAATCCTCGAAAAGGTGGGGCTTGATAACGTTCGACTGAACATGATCAAGGAAGTTTGCGATACCTGTCGGGAATGCAGAGCATGGGAACGTCCAGGAAACTCAACACGACCATCGGTGAGCCTTCCTGGTAACTGGCTCGATGAAGGGGAAATGGACCTCATGTTTGACAAGAAACGGACCACATTTCATATTATGGATCGTTGTATTCGCCTGGCAGCAGGCCTAGAAATTTCCGACAGAGAACGTGACACTATCATCGACGCCTACCACTACTGCTGGATTGCCGATCACGGACCCTTCAAAGTTTTATACTCAGACGGAGAAGGCGCCCTGAATAACGATGCCGCTAAAACCATGATGGCCAATAAGGGCACGGAACTTCGTATCCGAGCACCTGGCCAACACGCGACTTCAATTGAGTCACGAAACGGCATTCTCAGAGGCGTCCTCCACATGATTGAGGAAGAATTGAATAGACACAACATCCCTGTTGTATTCACTAGAGTATTGGCGGAAGGCATCTTCGTTACTAATGCGTTTACGTTTTAACGGAGTATCGCCATATCAGGCACACACAGGACGTCAGCCCTCTTCTCTCCCTGATCTCGATACCCTTGACTTTCCCAAGGGACCCGAGACTTCAGGACACGAACGAGAACGTCGTGTAAGGGAAGTCAGCCTAGCTATAACTCAGGCTACTGCTGTGGCCAAGACAAATCGGGCTCTTAGGGCTAAGACGACTCCTGATGGTGCTCGCCTCTACTCATCAGGGGATTTGGTCGATTACCACCGACCTACTGCCACCAAGGACGACCATGGAGGCTGGAATGGCCCATTCCCGGTGATCCGAAATGTGCCTGAAAGAGGACATATTGTTGTCAAGGCAGGATCTCGTGAGGTAATTGTGATGTATCCTGATGCTCGTCACACACTATACATTGAATGTCTCCTCACACGGGAACTTGGCATGGATAATATGGCCATGCAAACCGCCCTTGCTTATGTGGCACACCTCAGCGCAGGGAAACCTGCCAAAGTTTTCGGTTATATCCCCGATTACAAGGGAAACCTTAATCTGTCAGACGACAGCAAGTTCCACCCGCGCGTACACTTAGCACTACAGTATCTCGTACGAAATTACTTCCGAGTAGAACATGTAGTAGCAGTTCGACTGGCTAAGAGTGTGTCAAGCCTACCTGCAGTAAAGTACGCCACCGGGTCTACGCTGATCCACTATGACAACGACATCAGCCCGGCGTTCCACTATTACGAATGTGGGCACCGGCTTAAACATTTCTCAGATCACTGGTAGCACTCACTCCAGACTTATTCAATGCTTGACTTCACGTGTCCCTTCCTTAGGATTTCACGACGATTTGGTTAAATATCAGCATTCAAGCAACACGTCTGGAGAACACGAGTCGCCTGGAAACAGGCCTTCTCCAGACACACCAGATGCTTCATCGCCGAGTGAAGGCCGCCTGTCGACAATCTATGAGGAAAATGAGGAACACAAGATCGAAGCTATGATGCTGGAAGAGTGGTACGACGAGCTACGTATGGACCTTCATCCTACGACGATTACCGATGATTATCTTTATTGCGTCCCAACAACTATGCTGCCCGACCAATGTGTTTTGGTTTCAGCATTTGTGGACGAGGATGATACTATATCATCAGATATGCTCGGAGACGAGCCGAAATCACGTGAGTCCTGTCTAGTCTCTCTTTGTTCAACCACAACCGACGAGAGCTACTCTCTTGACAGTGATGAATATGGTCCTTACGTTGAATTATGCTTTACATCAGAAATGTCAAAAATAGTGTTGGATCAGACTCAACTTGCACAGCTCGATACCGATATGGTCGCAACGATGAGAGTATATGTATCCTCTGCTGCTAAACGTGCTGTGGTTGTCAAAGAAGATGATCTACTGACCAAAGCCGACATAGCAGCACATCCAAAGGAGGTTAGTGAAGCTTTGTATACTGAGCTCAAAATCTGGATTGATAACCGATGCTTTGAGATGTATGATTTACCCAAAGCTTCCAACATCATGACATCCAGGTATGTATACAAGTGGAAGTTCGTAAAGATGGGTACCGAGAACGTTAAAAACATTCGTCTCAGACTGGTCCTTCGTGGATTTATGGATACTGAGGCTTTTGATGTGGAAACATTATCGGGAACCGCCCGAAGGCAGTCCCAACGACTCCTGGCAAGTGAAGCGGCATGCCATCCAGAGTGGATCTTAGCATCCATGGATATCGATAAGGCGTTCCTCAAGGGTTTGACCTATGAGGAACTTGCCCATGCCACCGGCGAGGAAACTCGCATGGTTTGCTTTACTCTTCCACCAGGAAGTGCTCAGGTACTTCGTACATTACCCGGCTTCTCATCTCACGACGAAAGTCGACACCGTCTTAGATGCCTCAAACCAGGAACGGGTACAAAGGACGCTCCAAGAGCGTTCTCTCTCAAACTTCGTACGACCACACGAGCTATAGGACTTACACCGACCAGCTACGATCCTGAATTTGAATTCAGCCAAGACCTGCTGACGGCAAAACATGTCGATGATATCAACATGACAGGTCTAGAGAAAAATACAGACGACTATGTACAGCGCGTCGAAAAGGTGTTTGGCAAATGCAAGCTCAACAAGCACACATATACGAACTGCGCCGTTCGCTACACTAAGAATGATCAAGGAGATGCGATCATGGACCAGGACGAGTATATCAAACAACTACGTCCTATTACACACCCAGAACTTACAGGAGCGGCGGCCGATGCCAAAGCCACGAAACTCATTACCGACATGTTCGTCAGCCTGCGAGGAGCCCTCGCCTATGCCCTTCTTACCCAAATCTGGCTCATGGTATACGTGGTCTCTCTTCAGAAAATTCAAGAGCCCACCAATCTGCAAGTCAGACGTTTGAATGCTGTGACGCGAAAGCTGATCAGCAGCCCGAAACGCATCACCTTCCCTCGGATGAAGCCGACGAATGAAGTTGACATCCATAGCGATTCGGGGTATCGGAAGCTTACCGGGGAGGAGGATGACGAGACCAAGGGCTACGGCATACGCGGGGCCAACGTACTACGGCGAGGAAACTCGCCTCAAGGCAAGTCCGTCGTTCACCTCTGTGACGGACTATGCAAATCACACCGATTACAGGTGAGGTCCAGTTATGCTGCGGAGGCACTTGCAGCCGCACATAACCTTGATGAGTGTTACCCTACGCTCATTACTCTCCACGAGCTTAAGGCAGGAGCTCTGACTCCACCACAACTACGAGACATGCGTGAAGTTGGAGGCCTAGCTATCAAAGTCTCTCTTACCATAGACGCCGAGTCCGTCTACAAATATTTATCCAGCAGGGATCTTAAGATACCTACAGAACGGACTCTGCTTGGACATATCAGCTGGATACGTGAGCTCATGGATTTAGGTATAGTACACAATGTGCAATGGTGTGATACTAGGGATATGACCGCAGATGGGCATACAAAGGGAAGCATCGATCGGGAGCTGCTTCTGGAAGTAATGTCAGGCACTCAGTCATTTAAGTATGACGTGAAGCAATTTGTTCCCTTTCGGGGTCCCGAGGACAGAGACAAACCTAAGTCTAATCAATTTTAGTATGTCCTTGTTGCCCTCGCGGTCCACTTTGCCAGCACGGGCGCCTACTATAAAGGCGCCCCTCTAGTTGCTCGGAAACGAGCCTTATATTTCACGCCTGGCAATGAGCCGGCTTCGTACAACTCAGGCTCTTTGCCTTAATACACATTTGCTTGGTGAGGTATGGCCTGTTTGGCTTACCTCTAACTGAGCCGATAGCCCTTCATTGTTTGAAGGGGCTTTCTTGTATTTGCGTGAAATACTTTGCGAGGAAGCTCGCCTTGCAGTCTGGTGTTAGGACAGACTGTACGCACTGTTTTCTTTTTTGCAAACAGTCGTGCGCGCGACCTTTGCGTGCGACTATGCTCTCCGTCTCCTCCCCTCCCGACTTTAAGGGTAGGTCTTTGGGAGATGTTACAGTATCGGGAGCATAGCTCGCGCGCGCCGTTGCCTTTGGCCCAAGGCACGCGCGCCCTATTTGCCCGGACACCGCGAGTGTTCGCTATGTGCTGGAAAGATCATTACATCGATCTTATCCTATCTTATCCGTCCACCCCTCATACTGTACTATCACAGCATAGCGATGGACGCTATTTGCCATCCGATGTCTATCATGGAATCGGATGCTATTTGAGTTACCAGGCTCACTTTCGACTATTGCATCATCCAGCTTAGTTGCGAAGTTGGATGCACGTTCGCTTGGTTTGGTGTGGTTGGTTTTAGATGTCCTGCATATTTGTGGAATCGTTGGTTGGATCGTCCGCATGCATGTGCATGTAGATCCTGTTATTGCGCCACACGTATTGCGTATCCTCCCCGCGCGTGTCTTTGTATTCCTTGTTTCCCCCGTCTCTCCTCCTGCCCATCACTTTTCGTTCCTGTTCCTCTCTATTCCTCTTCCTGTTCATCCTTCGCCGCATCCTCATTAACATCAGCAATCCACCATCGCTCCTCGCTTGCTCCCTTTCTCCTTCCGCCCCGCCCTCCTCCACCCTTCCTGCGCCTGCTCCCGTTTGTCCCTCCTTGCCCTTCATCCTGTTCGCTGGGCTAGCCCCGGCCAAGGCGTCCCTTGCGACTGCCTCCGAGACGCTGCAGTCGCAGCTAGGCCTCGCGCAGGCGGAGCTGGAGGACCCATGGCCATCCCACACCCTGCCCTTCCGTCCTGCATCCACGAGGGGGATGGGGGAGGGACGGAGGCAGGGAGCGAGGAGAGGGAGTGGAAACAGTGTGACCGACGGAGGAGAGAGGCGGAGGAGGAGACGACGAGGATCAGACCAGGCTGAATTTTGGTGGAGTTTGGTGGAGAGCAACACGAGGAGGTATGAGGAGGATGCGGAGGGGCGGGGGAGATTGGCATTACGTTCCCCATCCCCCGTTCCTTCTCCGTGTCTCCCTGCATCATGTGTTGTGCACATCCTCTCTCCGTATACACGTATGCATATAGATCCATACCCTTCTCGTCTACATACATATGTATATATAGTCATGTTTGTATGTGTGCAACACTGTGCGATCACATATGTATATATATGTGCGTATATGAATATAGTACGTGGGTTCGTGTCTCGATCCCTCTCTCGGTATCTCTCTTCTCTCTGTGTCTCTCTCTCTCTCTCTTTCCTTCCCCATCGATCTCTCGATCCATATGTTCGCATGCGTACAGATATGTAGATACCCCTGTCTAGCCCAAGGTCGCCAATAGAGGCACGTGCTGGCCATCCAGCATGAGGCTAGCAATTGCGCCGCTCCTCTGCAGATTGCCCCCCGCGCTCCCCCGTAACGACGGCCCATACCGTATACGTCTTTATGACACATGTTTACAAGTGGACATGCGTTGGAGGAAACATGACTTCAGACGGGGAACACAGTTGTGCTCAGATTGGCTGGCACACAGGCAGAGGATCGTCTGGGCAGCGCGCAGGTGGTCAAACGCCGCGGCGGCCGCCGCCGTCTCCTGCAGGCATTCCACGCCAGGAGCCCGTCATCAGCACCAGATGCTGCGTGGCCGTGGCATTGGGGTTGGTTCTCTCCTTCCCGGCGGAGTTCCTCACATAACATGTGGATCATTGAAGGGGGCCGCAGGGACGGTGTTGGGAGCGCGTATCAAGCGCACTTTGCGGCAGGTCAGGGTGAGGGGGCCGAACGGTCATTCACTGTCCTTGGGTCCGTGGTGAGGATTATGTCTGTTGCGTTGTTGTGGTTGGTGTTGTTGTTGTTGCTGTTGTTGCTGTTGTTGCTGTTTGATGTTGTCGTCCCACCCGCGACCCACCCCGCGAACCACCCCGCGACCCAACAGCGACCCACCCCGCGACCCACCCGCGACCCAACCCGCGACCCACCCGCGACCCACCCCGCGACCCACCCCGCGACCCACCCGCGACCCACCCCGCGACCCACCCCGCGACCCACCCCGCGACCCACCCGCGACCCACCCGCGACCCACCCCGCTACCCACCCACGACCCGCGACCCACCCGCGACCCACCCGCGACCCACCCGCGACCCACTTGCCACCCACCCTGGCGACCCACCCCGCGACCCACCCCGCGATCCACCCGCAACCCAACCGGCGACCCACCCGCGCCCCTCGCGACTCATTCGCGACCCACCCGCGACCCACCCGCGACCCACCTGCGACCCAGCCGCGACCCACCCCCCCGCGACCCACCCGACGACCCATCCCGCGACCCACTCCGCGACCCACCCGCAACCCACCCGCGACCCACCCGCAACCCACCCGCGACCCACCTGCGACCCAACAGCAACACACCCGCGACCCAGCCGCAACCCATTTGCGACCTACCCGCGACCTACCCACCACTATAGTACTTGGTGGCCTTCGGCCCTTCCCGCCACCAGGCATGGGTTGCGGGCCATGGGTTTATTGGATACATGCCGGGGTATGGTTGGATGCTTTTTTGGGGGGTGTATTGGATACATGTGGGGAGGCCCATTGGAGACCTTGTGCGGCACTCTGGGGGCATCCTTGCGGGCGTCTGGGAACTTGATCGCGTGGTGACGGACATGACGCGGACAATGGGAGTTCGTTGGCATCCCTTGGCAACGGTCCGCTCTGGAAGAGTCTCGAAGACAGATTCGCGCGGGAAGACGTCCGAGGCACCGCGGTCCCAACCCCCTACGCCCCGCGTAGGGCCAGGCTCTGCCCGCACGTGGGTTGTTGTCTGTTTGTTTGGCCATGCGTTAGGGAAGAATGCGGATTACCCTAAGGACGTCACGATGTTGATGGGTTGGCTAGAAAAATTGGACACTGTTGTTATATACCGACTTGGACGATGGCCTCGGAGACGAGTCGGCAATTGGTGTATGGCAGGTGCTCCCACCGTGGGCGCACCCACGCAGCACGGATATGCAACGGCGCTGGCCACGAGTTTCGCTCGACCCTTGGAAAGCACCACCCGGTTGCAGAAGAATGTTTCAGCCATTGCGGGTGGAATTGTTCATGATGCGGGATCCAGCCGCATTGATTGTACAAACGTTCCCAGTGAAATATCACATTTGATCTCGTCGCGCCACCTGCGTCGGTCGGAACCTTTTTTTTGTTTCTCTCTCTCTCTCTCTCTTTCTCTCTCTCTTTCTCTTTTTTTTGTTTCTCTCTCTCTCTCTCTCCGTCGTTCTTTCTCCCTCTCTCTCTCTGTCTCGCTCCCTCTCGCGGTCTCTTTTTGTTTTCTCTCTCTCTCTCTCTCCCTCCTCTATCTCTCTTTGGTAATTATATGGATTTCCAAAACACTGTCTGCATGTAGAGTATTGTAGTCCCCATCTTAAGGAATCGGGCCCGTCTCCGGGCGGCCCAGCTCCTGTCGGCCGCCGCACCACACGGTCTGCACAACACAGCTCACACCACGTGGATGGCCTCACACAGACTGCATTCCATAGCTTGCACCCCTCCTCCTCCTCCTCCTCCTCCTCCTCCTCCTCCTCCTCCTCCACACGGCTTGCGCCACATAGCCTACGCCACCGAGCTCACAGCACGTCGACGCAGACTGCAGCACACTCGTTGCACACCATGGCTTGCATCACACCGTCTGCACCACACAGCTTATGCCACTCAGACTGCACCACGCAGGTTGCACCGCATAGCTTGCACCACATAGCTTGCACCACATGGCTTGCACCCCATAGTTTACACCACATTTCTTAGTGTGCGGGACCCACGTATTAACAGATGGATGATGTATATGTGTACATATGCTGATGTGTACATCATCGAAATAAATAGGTCCCCCCCCGACCTGGTCCGGCCCACCTCGCAACCATTGGGAAAAGCCCGCTGATACGCCCCTCGTTTCGCTCCCCAGAAGCGGCCCGGAGAGGCCAAGAGGGTGCCAAAACGAGCCAAGAGGGTTGCAAGAGGCCCCCAAGATGGTGCAAGGAGGTCCCGAGCTGCCCAATACGGCCCAGGAGGATTCCCAGAGCACTCCCAAGAAGGACCCAAGAGGCCCAACTCAGGGACGTACAGTTTTAGCATGTACGACTTTTCAGCTTTCGTGGCTTTCAAGACGGTCCAAGAGGCTCCCAAGATTTCCCCAAGACAGCCCAAGACGTTCCCAAGAGGCCCCCGAGCCAGCGGGCCAAGACGGCCCAAGGGCCGCCTAAGACGGCCAAGTTGGCCCCAAGACGGCGCCCAATACGGCCCAAGAAGGCCCCGTGTCGCCCACGATGGCCGAAGATGGCCCCAAGACGGTCCAAGAAGGCTGCGAGACGTCCCAAGAGGCCTCCAAGAGCATTCCCAGGCGGGCCCCAAGAAGCCACAATCGTTGAATTCCTACGGGGAAACGTACATGTTTTTCATATGCGATTTTTCGGCCTTCACGGATTTGAAGACGGCCCACGAGGCTCCCAAGATTTGCCCAAGAGAGCCTAAGACATTCCGAAGAGGGCCTCAAGACGGCCCACGAGAGGGCCAAGACGGCCCAAGGGCTGCCCAAGACTGCCCAAGTTAGCCCCAAAACGGGCCCCAAGAAGGCCCAAGAAGGCCCCGAGTCGCTCAAGACTGCCCAAGATGGCCCTAAGAAGGTCCAAGAAGGCTCCGAGACGTCCCAAGAGGCCTCCAAGAGCACTCCCAACAGGATCCCTTGAGACCAAATTCGTTACATTCCTCTAGGCAAAACGTACATTTTAAGCATATACGAATTTGGGAGCCTTCACGGCTTTGACGAGGGTCCAAGAGGCCGCCAACACTTCCCCAAGCGAACCGAAGACGCTCCCAAGAGGCCCCCACGGTAGCCCAAGAGTCCGCCAAGACGGCCCAGGGGCCGACTAAGACGGCTCCAGGAGGGGTCCAAGACCTCCTAGGAGGCCTCTTGACTGAGCAGGGGTGTAGGGTGCCCGGTCGTTTGTCATCCTGAGCCGTTCTCATCCTGAGTCGCTCTTCGGCGCTCCCGAGGCCTGGTAAGGGCCCCCGGAGGCCGAACATAGCGAGAATCGAAGAAGAAATTACGACATACACAAACGTATGGCGCCCCGCGCGGATTCCTTGGATCTGTGCTGGACCCTCCTCCCTGGCGCGCGGAGCGCGCTAAGGGCGGCGCCGGAGGCGCCGCCCGGTCGGCCCAGCGTGGATCTAAGAAATCCGCGCGGAGCGCCACAGAAGTTTATGTTTGTGTTATTGTGTCTTCTTCTTATTATTATTATTGTTCTTCTTCTCATGATTATTAGTATTATTATTATTATTGATATTATTATTTTTCTTCTTCTTGAAAAGCTTCCCGTCGCCATTTTTCTACAGCGCGAGAGGGTTTGGGAATGCCCAGGTCGAAGGGGCCCCACAAGGCCGAGGTGCACTGGATATGTATGAACACCGAGCCTCTACGGGGCCGAATTTCTGACCATATCCTGTGCGCCTCGAGTTTCTGGGAAGGGGGGGTTTGACTGTGAAGCCTAGCTAGAACCTAAGCGCGCGAAGCGCGCGTGGTTCTAGTGTGTGTATGTATCTTTATATATATATGTGTGTGTGTGTCGTTTACTCGCTCGGTTGTGCTATCTCTCTTCCTCTTTTCTGAAGAGACAGTCAGCGGTAGAAGGTGATGACGGGCTACATCATAGTGATTCGCATTTCTGTGAAGCCACGTAGAGAGTGTGCAACACGCAGGTGTTATTGTTATGCGCCGC